TAGTACAAGAAGAAAGAATTAGTTCGTAGAAAGATATGAAGCGATTTTAATCTCTTAGTTTAGAGGAAGAAAGAGAGTGTATACACCGACGCCATTGTGATCGATTCTGGGCCATGTCACCAAGAGTCACCAACCATTGGTTACGATAGTCACGCAGACCCCAACCAGGTAGTCTGAATCTTCCAACATAGCTCAGATCAGAAGTTAGTGACTTCAAGCACTGATGCCACGTTTTGGTTTGGCCGCCCCTAACTTTCTTCCAATCATCCCTAACACCGGTCAGCATTGCGCGTCGCCGTAATCGGTGTTCAGGCATACGCAGCACGTGGCCCAACCATCTCAGTCGATGAAGGTTCATAACCTCATCAACTGATTTACCATCATTTCCTAATACCCAACGTCTAATCTCACTATTACTAACCCAGTGATCCCAGCAATATTTCTAAGGCATCTGTGGTCAAATACTAGTAACTTACGAGTATCTTCTACTCTTAAAGGCCAAGTTTCGCAGCCGTATAGTAGAATGGAACGAACTGCCGCGCAGTATACTCGTCCCTTAATTGATAGACGGATATCTCGCCTTCGCCATAGGTGACGTAAGTTGGCGAAAGCCAAACGAGCTTTTCGAATCCGTGCTGAGATTTCGTCAGACACCAACCCATTAGGGCTGATCAGACTTCCAAGATAAGTGAAGTTGTCAACGTGTCCGATTAATTCACTCCCTATCCTTAGTTCAAGTGTTGACGCAGGCCAGTCCTGAAGCAACAACATGCATTTAGAGGGAGAGAAGCGCATCCCAAACATTCTGACATTGTTGCTCAGTGCTACCAAAAGACTCTGCATTTCATCAGCGTCTTCACCAAACAGGACTATGTCATCTACGTATTCTAAGTCGATAAGTGGACCTCCTGGTAGGAGATCAATACTCGAGAATTCAATCGATGGGAGCGTTATTTCCATCAGGAGGTCTATGGTAAAGTTAAACAAAAAAGGAGAAAGTGGACAGCCTTGACGGACACCACTTGAGGTTGCAAAAGCGGATGAAAGTTCGCCATAAGCTCTGACTCCACTAGTAGTGTTCGAGTAAAGAGCCTTCACAAGGTTTATGTACTTTTGAGGTACGCCTTTCAATGACAGACACTGCCACTGTCGAGGAAGACCACCATTGTCGGACGCCGATAAGTATGCCTGTGTTCTAAAATCTGACGAATGGTGAATGTGTGGTCGATGCAGCCACGACCAGGTCTGAAGCCAGCATGATTTTCTCGTGTTTGCGGTTCATTATTTATTATTTATTTGAACACATAAATATTGGTACAGGGGGGCACCAAATATATATGCGCGGTTCACGAGTCTTAGTTAGGCGTTCGATAGTTATCGAGGCTAGTATTTTAGATGCTATAGTAGTCAAACTAATCCCTCTGTGGTTGTCATAGGATTATTTTGACCCTTTCTTAAATATTGGGACGATAAGTGATTGTGACCAGTTAGATGGGATAACGTCTAACTCCCAGATTTTAGCTAAAATATTAGTCAACCTAATCGCTAAGACTAGACCACCATCCTTAAAGACCTCTGGGGCCAATCCATCTGGACCAGCTGCCCTTCCTCGTTTCAGATTAGCTATAGCCTTTTGAACTTCAGCTAGAGATGGGGGACATACCTCAATGTTCCATTCACACTGTCTGGGAATAGAGGGTAGTTGTAGAGTAGCTGAAGGCCAGCTGAACTGCTCCTTAAAGTGTTCCGCCCATCGTTCTAAACGTCTGGACTGGGAGCAGATGAGAGTGTCGTTTTTTTCTGAAATAGTCTGACTTACACTTGATTTATTAATTCCAGTTTCTTTTATTAGTCTGTAGAGTTGTCTTGTGTTCCCTATAGCCGCCGCCCTTTCCATCTCTTTTGTTTTCGTTGCCCACCACTGCTCACGATCATTCCTTAGACTTTTGCTTAACCTAGATCTGATTTCTTTACGCTCTTCATCGTGTTCAGAACCTGATGGGATGAGTTTGCGAGAATCTATCAGTGCAATAGACCTTGAAGAAATCCATTGGTTCTTTGTAACCCTGTGGTTTAAATCACTAGATGTCACTGCTGTTTCCACAGCTGCTTGTATGTCTTTCCAATCAAAATCTGGGTCAGCCTCGTTTTCAGAACTACCTAAGTGTGACCTCAGTTGTTCCTGGGACCAACTTTTGGTTTTCTCATTACTCAATTCGGTTCCAATGAGTCTTTTTTGTGTGGCTTTTTTGCATCCAGCGAGGCGCAAGCAGATGCGTGCTCGTCTTAGGGCATGGTCGCAGTCCAAGCAGGTACTCCAGAATGAGCGACAATCTTTTATCGACCCTCTCCAACTATGACTGATGGTAATATGGTCTATTTGAGTCCGTCGTTGGTTTGGTGTAGTGGGTCGCCATGTTGGACGATGTCTCTCCTTATGCTAAAAATAAACGATTGTCTGAGGACAGTTGCAGTAGACGGTCACCATTATCTGTTCGCTGTGCCGGAATACTAAAATACCTACCTAAATGCCTTTCTGTTTGGTTTAAGCTACCTATTTGGGCATTAAAGTCACCTGCTACTAGTAATATATCTGAACATTTGGCTTTCTGCGAAATTCATCTTTCACTTCATCCGAGTTTCAGTCAGTGGGAGCGTAGGCGGAAACGACAAAAAGGCAACGACGTGTGTCCCTATCCTTCCGAGTTCTTACGGAGCCGTTTAGGTGAACAGAACGTAAACGACTGTTAACGGTGATCCACTCTAACAGTGCTTGTTCCACACTCATGCCTAGTGCTATGCCTACACCTGCCAGTCCACGAGAACTGCCATCGGATCTCTAGAAACACAGAGGATGTAACTCGTCGGCTCTCCGTTTTGACGAGGTGAGGTCAAGTGAATGACAACGCTAGGATCCTGTATGCATGTTTCGGAGACACAGCATACATCAATGGTACGAGATTCTAAGGTTTTAGCCAAAGAAGCCTGCTGACCAATTTGGCATAGAGTGCGTACGTTGAAGGCTCCAATGTGTAGTTTGACATAACTGTCAACTACAACTTAGTTATGCTTTACTGAATAACAGAATTTCTTTATCATCACAACTGTGATAGTAAATTCAAGCTATGAGTGTTATCCTATATTTAGGCATACAAATTTTGATTACGTTCGACCGTGCAGTTTGAATAAAGAAAATTAACTAACCTCTTGTTTAATTCTATTAACCACTACTTCCACTCCCAGTGATAACGTATTCACGAACTTAAAAATATTGTTAATTTATTCGGGACTTTCTTTTTACCTCAAAATGTAACCTCGAGTAAACTTTCCATGATTCGTGGGATTTCACTTACCATTAAAGTATGTATATTTGTTTTATTAATCCCTTCTAAACTTACAAACTAATCTGATCTTCATAAATGTTCTACTGTTCGTTGATAAAGATAGCCTAACTCCCACATCTTTTAAGCAAACATTGCGATTACTATCTATTTATTCTATTATAGTCGTTCTGCAACCCCAACGGTTAGACGCAAGTCGTTTACGCTGTCTTCTAGAACTCTGTAATGAATCATCGTAACACTTTCAATGTAAGCTTTATAGAATATTTGATCCGACCTTAAATCACACGACGGACTACGTGGGTGATGATAAACTACTTTAAAGAGCTCCTTATATATTTTTACAAAATAAGTTATAGCTGTGTCATCAAAAACTTATGTCTTACTTTGGAAAATTTTTCCTCATCTGTAAAAAATGAAGGCAATATCAGGACAATTTAAACTGAAAAATTATTTTACTGAGAATTACATGTTATACTGATTCTCCTTCCTTTCGGTTTGTAAGCAATTTCCTTTCATTAATTTTTCTCGTTATTGATGTCCGTATCCCCAAGTTGCATATAATTCGATGACAGTTTAGCAAACACGAGGACTAAATCCATTGGGGAATCCAAGCCAAAGTAGATTAGAATGTTATGTCGCTACCTCCCATAGCAGTTTATACATGTGTTGTTACAAGTATTACTGTGGAAAGTTTTCGACGAAAACATCCTTTCTAAACAATTAAGAAACGCCTGTTACCAATAATTAGTGCAGATTCTCAGAGTTTCACTAATGAAAAAAGCCAGCACCACAAAATCCCATAGCTTAATTATTATCAAATACAAACTTAATTTTGTAATGTCTTTCAGTACAATGTTAACAAACTGTCCAGTGGCCTTCGATAACCTCAGTAAACACATAAAGCTTTGCCATATGAAAATTATGAAACATGCTTGCTCCTACATAATAAATGATTGAGAAAGCAAAGTTCATCACTCTTGACGTTTACTCTTTTGATCTGATATAAAAGGAGACAATACGTAAATGTAAAAAATTTCTATTCAATTTTCGGGGAGATGTTTAAAACATACGATAATGAAGTGGAGTAGGACATAACACCTGAAGACACGTGAGCGACTATTCTAGAAAATTAGGTATATCAGTACGTCTGACCTCGAATGATTTTAGGGAACCAATAGTTCATTATGAGCGTAACTCGTTTTGTTTGATTGCAACGAACAAGTTGGTAGTAATGATCCTCTAGGGTTTAGATGTGATTGGTGATAAACTCAACATGAGAATAATTTATAAAGTAGCACTAGCGTATGTTACTTCAAATGCGCAACAAACGTGCTTGTCTCAAGCTATTTATTTTGCTGTTATCATCTTCATTAGTTTTGTACCTGACATTCAAACACAACTGAAACAAGTCCATTAATTTGACTTGAGAGTCTTTCCCGAAACTGAAATATTCTATTTACATTACCTGTTTTAATACCTTAAAATTTTGTTGTTAATCAAGTGGAACATCGAAGTGTAAGTGACCTTGATGAGAAATTTATAATAGGATTCTTTACTATTTCTGAGTTAGGTTGATGATGATAGTTTACTTCTTGCAAATAAATGGATTCCTCAAATTGCTTAAATATCCATGAAAATAAACAAAATTGTTACCTTCGGGTTCTGTTCTCCCGAATTTATATGGACTACCTAAAGTTCATAAACCTAATATTCCATTACGACCAATTTTATCTATGCGCGGTTCACCCACACATGAGCTAGCTAAATGGCTTGTAAAATTGTTAAACCCAATTCGTATTAAACTATGTAAGTTTTCCTTAAAAGATACATTTGAACTGATTGATCTTCTTGGGGACATTAATATTAAAGATAAGTCTTTGTATTCTTTTGATGTTCCGTTAACAAAGACGGTGGATTTCCTTTGTGACTATATTTCTAAAAATTTTTCCCTTTTTCCTATTCCGTTATCATTGTTGAAAGAATTACTTTTGTTATGTACTGCTAATGTTCAATTCACGTTCGATGGTGAATATTTTCGGCAAGTTGATGGTGTAGCTATGGGTAGCCCTTTGGGGCCTCTCCTAGCTGATGTATTTATGTCATATGTAGAAAACAGGACGAGTGAGCTTATTAGTGAGGTAACTCTATATAGAAGATACATGGACGATATTCTAATTATATGTGCTAAAGACTTTGACGTTTACGGATTATTGGATAAACTCAATAGTGTTCAAGATGATATCGTGATGACACATGAAGCAGAAAGTAATGGCAAATTGGCTTTTTTAGACATACTTTTAAGTCGAAGGGAGGATGGTACTATTAGACGGTCAGTGTATAGGAAACCTACCTGGACGGGACAATACTTAAATTTCCATAGTTTTTGTCCATTGCAATACAAGCGAGGCTTGGTTAAGTGTCTCTTTAAAAGAACTCAAAGGATTTGTACATCTGACACGGTGGAAAAAGATGAAAAGTTACTGACTGACACATTAATAGCAAATGGTTATCCATTAAATTTTATTAATAGGTGCAAAAGTCAGTTAATACCAAGACCTCTTGTTTATTCGGTCCCAAAGAAAAAAGTTTACATCAATCTATCATATAGAGGTGAATCTAATAGCATAGTTTTAAGACAGAGATTGAAAGCAGCGATCGAGAACACCTATTATGCTGCTCAATTGATTGTGATTGAAAAGTCCAAGGCCATGATTCCTAGTACACCCAGACAATGCACCAATGATTACGTCACATCCCATTGTATTTACCAATTTACATGTTTGTGTGGACACACATACATAGGGAGGAGTAATCGAACAATGCAATCAAGGGTCAATGAACATGTGCCTAAATGGCTTCAAAATCAATGTGTGTCAAACGATCCGATCAACGTGGGTGGTAGAAAACCAGGGTCATCGATAGCGAAACATATAATTGAAACGGGGCACAAAATTGATATTAATGCAGCTTTTAAAACGTTGTATAGAAATTGTCAAGGACGAATTCTTAAGTTTATAGAAGCCTTGGCTATTCGTAAATTTAAGCCCCCTTTATGTGCACAAAAACAATTTGTCGTAACCTTGAATTTACCTTGGTAATCCTTGAGTCATTCTATGGCCTAGGATAATGCGACAATTTCTTATCCTTTCTCTCCCCTTTGTTAATTTTGTTTGTACTTTAACTTTCATGTAATTGACCTTTATTAATTTTCATATAAAATGCCCTGACAAGTATATGTGTGACCAGATTGTTCGAAATGTATAGCGCAAATACATCACATTTTTCAGATCAACTCCGTCTTCTCATTGTTCTATCGAAATTTATAAAAGGGACTAATTGCTTTAAAATTGTTATCATCGACATGATTTTATATTATAGACCGCATAACATTTGAAGACGAAATCATGACGTTACTTTTATTATAATGATATAACTATCTTAAATCTTATTCCTAAATCATAATGAGTACGACAAAATCTAGATCGGTGGAATTCCTTTAGTTTTTTTCGTGCAAATGTACGAATTAAAACTATCGAGCCCTAACACGATGAGGATATTAATCTTTTATAGAAGGACTCATACATATAGAGAACTAGTTAAGAGAAACTATTGGATTGACGTCCAGTTAATCGTATCTAAAATTAATGCTAAGCTTCTAATAAGTAGTATATTCGGTTTTATATAAACCACAGTAATTTCATTATCCGACAACAGAAGTTACCGCACGAATATATTAGTGGAAATACACCTGACTTCGACATTGATGAGTTAAAAACTCATAGAGTATCAGTTCCCTCAAAACTGCCTATAAGCGCAGGGGATAGGTTCCAACTTGCACGAAAACTATGTTCCGAGTTTCGTATCAATCGCTTTTAAACACTGAACGTGACCTATCGGTGCCTTTTTAATTTTATAAACGATGAAACCCGTAAAAAAAAACTTCTTGGATATGATAGAATAAATGATACCAAGTAAAATCGTTTAAAATATGACTAGTAAAGAATTATATTGGATTTTTTATGTACAAACAATATTTAATCATAAAGACATTTCTGATTTATAACTCATTATTACACAAATATACCAAAACCACTGAGTAAAAACAAATTAACAATTTATAACACGTGAACTCATACCTGATGATCGGTAGAAAAGTGATACGATACGTGATTACTTTATCTCGAATTCTTCTTACTTTTTTAACTTTATATTTTTCCCGAAAAGAAAGAGACATCAAACTCAGTAAGGAAGGCAGTGGATAATGATAAGTTTACCAGAAGATAGCTGGAAGAGATAACGAATAATAAATATACAAGTCAAGAATACAATGTATACTGGCCTCTCTTATTCAAAAATATCAAACATGAACGAATCAAAAGTACAGGAAGGTAAGGTATGATAGAAAATAATTGGATACATTTGAAAACAAAAGATTAATGTAAAAACACATACACAAGCTAAAACATATCTGATTATACATTATGAATAATAATGGTAGTAACAACAACCCATTTGCACTTTTTATGTTCACAGTTTAACGGATTAAAATAAAATTGTTGAACTAACGAGACCTGGTTGATGACAGTAGCATACTAATTAGTAGGATGATAATCACAGTAATTTTTTGAGTAATTCTTTTCCCAATTATACCAACTTCCACAATTACATTTGTGATATCATGACGAAGGAACCTTAGATATACAAGCATCAAATAAAACTTTTTAAAATGAAAAGTAAACTAAGATAACTAAGTGTTGAAATGTGATTTAACTGAGTTCGAACAATTGTAAACAACAATAACTATAATGATATACATTCTATCGGATACATAGGAAATTTCAGTAGAAAAGTATAGTTAGGGTTACAAAGCGAAAGTTTACTATAAGAAAGTGGCTAAAAGCAACTAATCGTAATAACTTAGATTAGTTAATAATGTAATACAATATATATGAAAGGATTTAAATGCAGTTTCAATATACATCGAGTTTTAATAAGTGGTCAGTTAACTAGTCGATGATAGGTCATACTATTTTACATTACAAAAGCTACCACATAAAAAAGATAATTTAATAAAGTCAGAGGATAAAGAAACTATAAAAGTATTTATCACATTGCTGAATAAACACCAGAAACTAATCAACATACAGATTTTTAGCTTGTGTGAAATACTTCATTTCTGTGCATATGATACCGATACCTAAGATATTTGGGAGAGTAAACAAGAGTATAGGCAGATGAGAACTAGAGTTGGAATAGAAACAACTAATCTGAATTACACATAAGTAATAATTAATCATTACAAAGAATCGCAGAAAGCAGTAGGTAAGTAAACAACTATAACAGTAATATCATCCCGATAATATCTAGCTAAAGAAGCTGGCATTGAAAAGTGTAAGGCTATTTGTTCGGAATTCATTTCTGTACCACCAAGTGCAGTTCGAATTAAACGACTAGCAGCAGTATCCCCAGAACCACAAGATGGATTCTGAAATAAAACAGATACGTATAAATTAACTGGCAGATAGTTACCAACATATGCTTAATTGAAGAGTAACAAAATAATAAGAAATCTAAAGCAAGCAACAATTATGAAGTACTGCAACTTGTAGTCCAATTTATAGAAAAAATGTTAGACATTGAAATCCAATTTTTGATACCGATCATCAGAGAGTAACCTCGATTTCCAGAAAATTTGCGCTTTTTATGCTAACAAAAACGTTGTAATGACTTTAATTACTAAGCACTAACGATTTTGGCTAAACGATGTGGTTGTTATTGATTTTAATGTTGTTTGTTGAAGACTACATACACTGCCCCATTATCTAGAAAAAAAATTCTTCAACAGTAAAGGGTTTGAGTGTTGAGTTCATTTATTACTGGACCACATCACTTTAACAAGGGTTTTAAATTCAAAAAAAGTATGAACTTCTGATGCTTGACAAAACAACTTAATGCTATACTCCCCTCACAGATGAACTCAACAATCTGTGAAACTCATGAGGGCAAATACTTTCCCAATATCAACGCAATGTTGTTGGACGAAACACACAAAACTTACACCTTTATAATCATACCAATGACGAGCAACCACATCCACAGCCTCTGCTGGTGAAATCATATCCCACAAGCCATCTGTCCCCAAGATTAAGAAGTGATCACAAAGAGGAGAAAGAGGTTTCCACAAAACTTGAGGTGTAGCAACTAAATAGGGTGGACTGGCATAAAAACGTGGAGAGATAGGATAATTAGGGGGGAGATCCAATAAGCGTGCGATGTTCTTCAAATCATCTGTTGACCATTTGAAACGAATATCTCCAAATGCACGTAAAGGCATTAATTCACCTAAAAATGAAACAAAATGAAACTTCGTAATATGTCCTCATATTTTTATGTTGAAAACTACTTATACTACTTTAAGTAGTATGGTACGGTCTTTCAATTTTACGTCATCTAGATGAAATTGAAATTAGATGGTGGTTGGAGGTAGTCAACAGGAAACCCTGGACCCAGGTTTCGTGCTACTTGGCACTCGTCAGCAAGGTGTATCTGTGGGAACTGGTGCTCCCTTGATCGATAGCATTAGGTCTGCACTAAGAAGGACTTGTCACACATGACATTGATCACCACCTAATGATCAATCAATTGTGAAATTGAAATCACACTACAAGTCAGTTTACTTTAGATCTTCAATAGGGTAAATACAAGATGTGTGGCCACTTTTACAATAGAATGTTACATCGTTTCGAGAAAAAGAGAAACATTCGCTTATACTGACTCGCTCTTTCATTAGAAAATAATTATTTTGATAATTTTTATTAAATCGGGTCATTGTGAAACAACCATTATTGGATAAATTAGTCGTTCGGAAAGCAAACATTCTCACTTGCACATTGATTACGCTCATAAGGTTGAAACTAACTACAAAGAAAGCAACAAAACCATGGACGGACCTCATATTTCCACGCCCATAACTGTATTTTCATTCATTAAAAATTTTTCATTATACAAAAACAGTTCCAACATCCCGAAAGATAAGATAAAACTAACGCTTCCCATACAATGACCACACTCGCCTATGTATATAACTCCCTCTAAGAAGCTAAAGAAGTTGCAAGACAAGTTGAACCGAGATAAGGTACTTTAAATTCCTTCCCAAATTTCAGCCACTGAGATTAATCTTGGTAATTCAGGTAGGGATTATTTCACTAGAACCATTCTTTTCGAAGTTTGAACCACCCGAGTTTGCAAACAAATATCATAGCAAAGACGGATAGAGGTTAGCAGTGGAATCCCGGACGCATATTTCGTCTAATTTGAGACTCGTCAGCTGGATGTACATGCATCTCAGAGTTAATGTTCACTCTGGGCACTGCTAGCCACTATCCATCTTTGCTTACAAGGCTTGTGACTTCAGACAATATCGAGGCGGTTCGCATAGAATGCATATATGCCAACAAGAGACTGATCAATCACAGTCCTAAATAGCAGTGGGAAGATACAACTAAACAACACCAAGTGAAAATATGAAAGCACTTTATCCAATATGATAATTAATTACGATTTTTCATACACTATTCTGCGCTGCATTCTATTTTTCGATCACGTAGATTACAAGTAAATACAACAAGCTGTGATTCAAGATAAACTGTCGTGATCTTCTAGCCATTCACTTGTAATTAATAAAACGACAGTAAAGATTTTTAAAACAATTAATGTTTATTTCGAAAATTCTTTACTATCAGTCAGTTACTCAGAGTCTAAGTAAAGTGTGAACAAAGATTTTTATCCAATGTCTTCCTTTGTTCAGTCAATCAGTCAGCTACAACGTAGGACCAGGCACATGTATGCATCGGTTAAAGTTGCCACACCTCATTAGCACAACAAGATAAACACCGAATTCATGGAAGTAGTCACTTCAATGGTAGTAATGTATGAAAGAAATATCGCATATAAGGATACAGTACACGAATAAAGAAATAGTTCGTAGAAAGATATGAAGCGATTTTAATCTCTTAGTTTAGAGGAAGAAAGAGAGTGTATACACCGACGCCATTGTGATCGATTCTGAGCCATGTCACCAAGAGTCACCAACCATTGGTTACGATAGTCACGCAGACCCCAACCAGGTAGTCTGAATCTTCCAACATAGCTCAGATCAGAAGTTAGTGACTTCAAGCACTGATGCCACGTTTTGGTTTGGCCTTTTCTTTATGTATTGGGACTATCAATGATTGTGACCAATCAGATGGAATTAAATTCAGTTACCAGATCTTAGCTAAGATTTTAGTCAAAATAATCAGTAAAACTGAACCACCATCCTTAAAGACTTCTGGAGCCAATTCATCTGAACCTAATGCTCTTCCTCGTTTCAAATGAGCCATGGATTTTTGAACTTCAATTTGAGCCGAGGGCTTGCTTCAGTATTTCATTAAAGCTGAGTAGTTTTAGAGTAGCTTAAGACCAGATGAACTGTTCCTTAAAGTGTTCCGCCCATCGTTCTAGACGTCTGGACTTAAAGCAGATAAGTCAGGTCGCCAGATAAAACAGAGCCAAGGAGGCCTGCTGGTCGATTTGACATAGGGTGTATATGTTGAAGGCTCCAACGTGTAGTTTGGAGCGAGGTTTCATTACACCTGGAAGTGTTTCGCTCACTAGAATCGTTGGCCATGGTGACACTTGAGAAAGAAGTTAAAAAAGGAAGTTTATAGTTGAAAGTCGAGATGGGAGGAATAATAGGAATTAAAGAGGGAAATTGATTATGAATACAGTGGTCTTGAGTGTTGTTAGAGGTGAGAGAGCGGCTTTCACTTGCCGGTTGCCCACACCGTGGAAGTGTTCTTATAGTTGGACTTGAAAAGGAACTTGGGTTAGAGTTGGTCTTAATACCCAAGGGGCAATTGATTGAGACAAGTCACACACGACCTGTATATTAGTAATTTTTGTGTTAGCTCCGTACTTGTTGAAACCTTACCGCCGGAGACGGATATCCGTGAGGTAAGGAGAGGTGTACATTTTTAGGGTCGACCTTTTCTAACCCCGCCCCTCCTTGTGGGAAGGCAGCATCGCTGTTATAGTGGCCGTCTGAAGGGAGCACCTTACTGCTGTCACACCTCTGTACAGTCAGCAGTACGACTTCACCCTCAGACCTTGTTGCTTTTAGTCTTACCACCCTTCAACCTACCTGTCTGGCATGGTGGGATTTTGAGGAACGATGGTTTTGGCCAGTATAGCTCGATTAGCTCATCACGATAGGCAAGCGCGACCACCACGTCAAGGTAGCAGCAACGGTCAGGCTTTGTTCATTCAAGTTCATAAAATTATCAATAACCATGCATCAGTAGTTAATCATTACTTAATATACAATTGTTTATATTTTGATAATGGGTAGGAAAAGTCTTGTTCAGAAGATCGATGTACTGTGCGGAAAATGTTCACTATTATGAAACCATGTATAATTATTAAGAAATAGAAATTTAATAGGATAATATCCTTACCAAGAAGTCGACCATCTCGGATTATAAATTCAGCTTCATGGACAGGATGACTTGATTTAATTCTCCGAACATCTGCTTCATTTTCAGATATATGAGGAGGAATCAACAGCTTGGCTTCCCAATGCTCTTTAGTATATTCCCCAGAGGTCTGAGTGTATATGTCTATCGAAGATGGAATTGTAACTGGAACTTCACAAGGAGGTGAATAACTTCCAATTACAGCCCCACAATCACCTACCTACATCAAAATGAATAAATGCCAATTCTTAATACTTGTTATAATTACCTGGTATGTCAAATTTGATTATTTAAAATAGCATATATAGTAGGTTTATCGAATACTTCTTTACTTAAAAATACCACGAATATTGAACATCCAATTAAGAAAATATCGATGTTTATAAAGTAGTGCAGTACCATCTAAATGATTTACCACTTGGCTACTAAATGACGGCCCCCAAATGCCCTGGTATGGCCGAGAGTGGGGAGGGTTCGCCCTCCCTCTCGAAATACTCTCACACGGCCACGCGTATACAGCCTCTGCCAGGGAAGTCCTACTCACTGCCTTCTCGTGGCATTACTGTTGTTTACGAAAATGAGAGGACGAAAAGCGAACGTCCGGCGCTATAACCGGATTCCAATTCTATGGTGCACATGGGCTCCAGTATCCTGAAGGAACAAATGGCGTATGAACCAATCGTCGATCACCGGCTTCCAAGGGACTGCATCTCCTCACGATGCTCCACTGCCTTGTGGACTAGACCTTTAGGTCGAAGGCTCGGGGTGTGGCCCCCTAAGATGGGCAGAATTCTTTGAAGGGCAGTCCAACTGGCCTGCTGCTCCGGCAACTTCGGTCAGACTATCCTGCCCTCCATGGCCGGTGACGACTGATCCACCAAATGAGGCGGAAGTCCGCAAGGAACTCCAACTCTTGAAACGTTACAAATCACCGGGCCCAGACGACTTACCTCCGGCTCTTTTTAAAGATGGTGGTGACTTTCTGACTAAGGGACTGATTGTGTTGTTTACAAAGATCTGGGAACTAGAGTGTACCAACGTCATGGAATGAGTCGATAGTTGTCCCTATCTTTAAAAAGGGTTCACGTCGTTCCTGTAACAACTATCGGGGGATAAATCTACTTCCGATTGCGTCCAAGCTATTGGCTTCCGTCATACTTCGTAGGTTGTTCAGAACCCGAGAAGGATTGACTCGTGAGGAGCAGGCTGGGTTTCGTTCTGGTCGGGGATGTATTGATCATATCTTCACCCTCCGCCAAGTGTTAGAACACTGCCATACTTATCAAAGGCCAACAATCGTAGTGTTTCTTGACATCAGGGCTGCCTTCGATTCGTTGGACAGAACTGTTCTCTGGGATTGTCTATTGAAGAAGGGTGTGCCAGAGAAGTTTATTAACATCCTAAAAGCCCTATACACAAACACCTCAGGCAGAGTGAGGGCATACAACCACCTTTCTCCACAATTCCATTCGAGCAGTGGGGTTAGTCAGGGTTGCCTAATCTCACCATTCCTCTTCAACTTTGCCATCGATGACATTCTGGAAACAGCTCTGATGGATGTGTGTAATGGTAGTGTGGATATGTTGCCTGGAGAAAGACTTTTCGAACTTGAGTATGCGGATGATATTGTCTTACTGTGCGAGAATGCCCAAGCCATGCAATCCGCAGTTAATCAGTTGGCAATCAGTGCCCGTAGGTATGGTATGTGCTTTGCACCCTCGAAGTGCAAAGTACTCCTACAAGACTGGCAGGATTCTAATCCTGTACTCACTCTGGATGGTGAGCAGATTGAAGTAGTCGAGAAGTTCGTGTATCTAGGTAGCTGCATAAGTGCTGGTGGTGGTGTGAGTGATGAGATCAATGCACGTATAGTGAAAGCCAGAGCGGCTTATGCCAATCTGGGCCATCTTTGGCGCCTTCGTGATGTTAGTCTGGCTGTAAAAGGTCGGATCTACAACGCGACGGTGAGAGCAGTTTTGCTCTATGCTTGTGAAACCTGGCCTCTCCGAGTTGAGGATGTTAGACGACTCTCTGTGTTCGATCATCGTTGTCTCCGAAGGATTGCTGGCATCCAGTGGCAACACCATGTCAGTAATGCAGAGGTTCGGCATCGAGTGTTCGGTCACAGAGACGATAATGAAATTGGTGTCACCATCTTGAAACACCGACTTCGGTGGCTTGGACATGTTCTACGAATGTCGTCCCAGAGAATTCCACGTCGTGCATTATTTGCCGACTCTGGGACTGGTTGGAAAAAGCGGAGAGGTGGTCAGTATATGACATGGTGTCGTGGTATGAAAGAAAGCTGAAAAGGGCTAGCTTCTGTTGGTCCTTCACGACTCCCTGGTTGGGGTCCGAGAGACGGTGTAACGCAGTGGCTAGAGACGTTATCAGATATGGCTCAGAATAGAAGCCAGTGGCGATCGTGCTGTAACCTTTTTTTACTTTCTTCATAAAAAGTGGTTGTATCTTCCTTAACTGAAAGATCTCTTCTGATTGTACCTTTCCGTTTCCCTCACCATTGTTCTCTCTCTCTCTCCCTTTTTTTATAATTCCCCACGTTCATTACTTTTTTTTCTCTCTTTTCTCCTTCTCTTCAAATTATCATTGTTTTGTGTGGCGCATATATATTTGGTGCCCCCCTGTACCAATATTTATGTGTTCAAATAAATAATAAAATAAATACTAAATGACGGGTTTCAATTTCGAACATATAACGTAATTTGGCTTGGACAGTCCTGTAATATCAGTAGCCCTAAGCAAACAGTATGATCTAGTATATAAACCTGTACTTGGTAAGCTAGTTACATTTATTCACCAAGTAACCTAATTACAATAGCTCAGAAGTTATTAAGTGGAAATTTCAGGACTTATCTGCAATGAAATTTGTTAACAGGTTAGACAGAAACAGAGAAATTACTCGCAACATAAAATCATAAAACAAGTGGTTTGGCTCAGAACTAAGCTCTGCTTTATTCCACACATCAAATACTATGCAGATAAAAAAACGTAAGGGGGGTTCGATAAAGTTGGAGCCCCACACTATAAGGTAGAGAACCAAACTTCTACAAACCGCCTAAGTGTTTTTACGATTAAATCCTTTTCTCGCTTCTCAATATTTATCTTACACCTACTATCAACCCTTCTCCTATGGCATCACTTTTATCCCCCCATACACCACAATTACCAGCAATCTGTCTTCTGAGACCGTCCTCTAAACTACATCTCGGAGCTTTTGACGCTTATACTTTGTGTCAAATAAGCTAACAAACATCCTTAAGTAGGACTACTCTAGAATCCTGAGCTATCAATGTGTGCTGTGTCTCCGAAACACCAAGTGCGGTCATTCACTTAACCTCACCTAGTCAATATAGAGAACCGGTGCGACTTACCGGTTTTTGTATCTGATGGTTTGATTTATTTTTTGTAGCCCTTCTGGTGTTTGTATAATATTAGGTTTAAACACAGAACAAGCTCTCCCAGACCGGGTTCAAATAGACAGTCACTTGTGAGCTGTCAATAAGAACTCCCAAAAAAGGGGGCCCAGGACGTATCCTCTTCGTTGTCTCGGATCACGGTCACACTGACTGCAGTTTCGATGAAGTAAAGTATTTCCCGCTCTACTACAAAAGGTGGGACAGAATACTCGAACGATGGGTGGAACACTGAAGAAACGTTTGATTGCATCTCAGATACCATTCAGTTGTCTACCTTTACCAAGTAACCTGAATGGGTTGTCAAAATCAGGCCCTCCCTCGGCTGAGTCAAGTACAGAAAACCACAGTTAACCTAAGGAGAGGGATAGCAGCGGGAGCCTTATGGATTAACTCCTGAGATCTTTAAGGATGTTGTTCAAGATTTAGCTATTGACTGGGATATTAGCCAGAGATTGGGAACTGAACATAATCTTATTTGACCTATCTCGATCGCTGATTGCTTCAGTCTATAAGAAAGAACAAAAATCCTCTCGTGATAACTAGAGAGGAGTCAATTCAACTTTTTTACTGTTTAGCTTCAATAATCATCCAATGCTTAAATAGTGTTCGTAAGACTAGGTGTCGTTCTACTTTATGAATGTGAAACAGCCATTAAGAGTAGAGGATATTCATATGCTACTAGTATTCAATCATGTCTTTAAAACATTACTCGTATATTTTGGGACCATTGAGTGAATTAACTGAGGTGGTTAGGGCATGTATTACATACGCCAATCCCCCAAATAACTCGATGTGCGATGACGGTTAAGGGCGCCCAAATTAAGATATGGCATTAGTCCATCAAGACTTGAAGGGATATGGCTCAGAAACGTACACAATGGAACAGAAACATTTGCTCTTTGTCTTATTTAGATCCTGAGTTTCTAAATTACCTCATAATTTTTTCCTAGTCCATTAATTCACACTTTCTTATTGACTCTTATCTTTGATACCTAATCTTTTCTATAACCTTTAGTGCTGTTACTGCCTTTACTACTTTAGTGTTTGCCCTGACAAATTCATCTTGCCCTGCTAATGGGATATGGTAACTTGCACCGACGTAAGCATATGCCGTTGAGTATCAGTGACTGACGAAATGCCATTAAGCACTTGACGATCAAAGAAATAAACACCACAAGCTACATTCTCAAGGTGGCTCAATATTACCCGTATATGTAAACCGAATATTTCACCATACAACTAGTAGGTTGTAATGAATTATAAAAGACAAAATTCATGTTTCATAAACCTAAGGTTAGAGAGGTACCTACCAACCAAATACATACTCTATGACATTGTAGTAGCATCTGTTCAATTTTGAAAGGATGGATGAGTAATGTGTCGTGCAGTTTAACGCCTGTGATAAATGAATTCTGGTAACAGAATACTAAACAAGTTTCTTTTAGAGCACCATAATTTACATAGTGTAGATTACATTCTTAAGTAAAGGTCATTCAAAGATTACATTTATCTAATGGCATTCCCTTCAACAAACTGGAAGTACTGTCATTTGAACATACAGTATATCTAATACAGTTAGTTAGCGCTACAGTTGATTTAAAGGCAGTCACCAAATTAATCTATTTCCGGGTTCCGTCAACTCAAAAGTAGCTAGCCTGATCTAGCGTTTCTAGATAAGCTGGAAATAAGTGAATGAAAACGAGACGTAAAGTCCATTTACTATAATCATGGACAGATCAGAACGACTGGAAATTTCCCCAAATATCGTGACTTTGATAACATT